TTGACTAACCGTGGCCGCATGCTTACTGCGGCGTTAGGAACCGAAAGGGTTAGCGCTTAAGGTTTAGGGTTTAGGGTTTAGGGTTTACGGTTTACAGCTTGTCACGTCGCTTTCAGTCGATGAGCAAAGCGTCACAGGTGCAATCAATTTTTACGCAACTCAGTGCAGCAGCAGCAGTAGCAACAACAGCAATATCATCAGCAGTAGCAGCAGCAGCAGCAATAAAACTAGCAGCAGCACCAGGAGCCCAAATATTGGAATCAGCGAACACAGCAGCAGCAGAAGCCCTACTATCATCATCATCATCACCAGCAGCAGCAGCAGCACGAGCACCATTATGAACACCAGCAGCAGCGGCCACAGCCGCACGAGCATCATCATCGTCATCATCGTAATCAGCAGCAGCAGCAGCACCATCATCATCGTCATCATCATCATTATCAGCAGCGGCAGCAGCAGCAGCAGCGCACGTTGTTTGGGAGGTCGACGCTGGCGCCCCTCTCGATGAGGAGCTGCACGATTTGCAATTGGCCATGCACGGCTGCTTCGTGCAGCGCAGCAAAACCCCACACGTCTTGCTGGTTAAGACTGGCCCCTTTGTCCAGCAGCAGCCGCGCCACTGCCTCGTGGCCGCGGCTCGACGCGTGCCACAGCGCCGTCCGCCAGTACTACGCCGAAACCCAAAGCCTAAACCCTAAACCCTAAACCCTAGACCCGTGAATATGAAGGTTGAAGGCTGGGCTCTCGAGGTCCTGCACGCGTTGGACTCGGGGCGGTAGACTGGCAAAGGAGGTGCAATGGCACATTCTGGGCTGCTGACCACAAACCCTAAACGCTAAACCCTAAACCCAGTTCATAACATGGCAGCTAGCTAGCTAGCTAGCTAGCGAAACTCCTGGCTAACTATCGGCTCTCTAGCTAGCTAGGCTACCAGCTAGCTAGCTAAACAGCTGCTCTGGCAGCCGGTGTGTTCTTGAATAAGGCCTTTTGGCAGCTGATCGGCTAACTAGCCAGCTAGCTAGCTAGCGAGCTAGCTGGCTGGATGGCTAGCTAACTATGTCTAGCTAGCTAGTTAGCCAGTTGGCTAGCCAGTCAGCTAGCTGGCTAGCTACAGCAAAACCACTCACTAAATCAGCGTACTATTACTGTTCTCTTAATGAGGGCAGAAAGACACCCACAGGAGGCTCTGAGAAATCTAAGGAAGGCAAAAGTTTCATCAACTCTTTGCAATCTTTTAGCTTGCCGTCCCGCGCAGCAGCCACGAGCTTTCTGCCCGCCTCCTAAGAACAAGTAAAAGTACAACTAAATGGAAAAGCCACTCAAAGAAGAGTTAAATAAAGGTACATTTTGGGGCAGTAGCAAGAAGGGCGGTTAGGGCGCCTCTAATGGACTACTTGTGAGAAAACACTCACAGTCATATTCACAACTATTCAAGACTGGCTCAAGGCAATCGTAATTGTTGCTGGAGGCGTTTTTTTGCAGAGTTGGGAAGGTGCTGACGGCCGCAGCTTCAGCGGGGGCTACGGGAGACTAAATTCAGCAGCCGGAGTTAAAATAAGTCAAAGGAAGCCAAAAAACTGCATAAGGGCGATGCATGCAGCTGCATATGCAATGCATGCGACTCGAAGAAAAATTGCGACGAAGTCGGGGCTGTGCGTTGCGCTCAGGCTCATCCGTTAGATTAGGTGGAGAAAGCCAACAGATAAATGGAATAACTGCAGCACTTCAGAGGCTTGAAAAAGAATAGAGAGTGTAGACTTCAAGGCTTCAATTCGTGGAAAAAAGAGGCACGTAGTGACGAGGAGAGAAGCTTCGGCAATTTACCGAGAACCGGACCAGCGAGATTCGGCAGCGGAGCCAACTGAGAAAATAAATAGTTATAAATGCTTGGTAATTCAAATTAAACACGTGATTAAAACGAATTAAACATTTAATGGGCAAATTAATCAGCTTTCAACTTGGCGCAGGCATCCTGAAATCCCGAGCACGCTTCACGAGCGTTGTGGAGGTGTCGGATGTGGCAGCTTGCCTGCAGAAATCGAAGCTATCAACGGCTCAAAAAAACAATTAAATGAATGCTTCAATTATTGAATTTCTGTGAAAAATTTTTGTTAAAGATCAAGAAGGCCGCCATCTGTCGCGCTCGCTTCCGCCGCACCAATAGCAAGCCCAGCAGAGCTCCTTCGCAGGATTCTTCGCAAATTGCACAGCTTCTTTCCTGCAATTCTTCAATAAGGACAAACATTAAATGTAATATAAATAAATAATTCATTCTGGCAAACTCGGGGTTATTCTAAGGAAGGAAGCGTTCCCATTCTACTACTGCTGCGGAGCGCGCTACGCTTTGCTTGTTACAGTGCAAATTTTAAGGTGATTTCACTTATGCCCGAACCTTTAAAAGTCCAAATAAAACATTCTTGAAGACATTTCATGAGTCCTTCAGACTATAATTATGATGTACGAACTGAGCCTGAGCAGTTGCAGGAAATGAAGTGCTACTGAGGCCATTAATAGGCCACTGTATCTGCAGCAAGGACTTAGGCCCTAGGGTTTAGGGTTTAGGGTTTGGGATTTAGGGTTTATGGTTAAGGGCTTACGTGTTAGCTGTCCATTGAAAGACCGCTATGAGCGAACGCACACAACGGAGTGCTGCCGCTGCTGCTGCTGTCGTAGCAGCAAAATGAATTCTTCGCTGTTGTTGCTGCTGCTGCTTCTGCTGGTGCTGTGGCAGCCTTGCTTGCCTTCTGTTGCTGCGCAGCTGACGAGTTGGAGTCTCTTTCGCTGCTGCTTGCCTCTGCGCTGCTGCTGCTGGCCCTGCTCCTGCTGCTGGCGTGCTGCTGATGCCATTGCCCCTGCTGCTGCTGCTGCTGCTTTGCTGTTGGTGCTAATTTGCTGGCTGATTTGACACATGTGACACCGCCGATGCTGCAGTTGTGCTCTTGGGAATGCGGTGCTGCTGGCGCTGCTGCTGCTGGTGCTATTTTGCTGCTGCTGCTATGGTGCTGCTGTTACTTTGCTGCTGTTTCTGTGTTGCGGCCAGTCTTGTTTCTTAGAGTCCTTTAAGGTTTGACCCACGTCCTCCCGATTGAGCTGCTGCTGCTGCTCCAGCTTTTGCTGCTGCTACTGCCGCACTTCGTTTGGCTTTTCTGGGCTGCCTGGTTGAGTTTTGCTGCTGGCTTTCGTGTTGCTGCTATTGCTGCTGCTGTTGCCGCTGCGCCTGCGTCTTGCCGCGCTGCCTGCTACTCTGTTTGCTGCTGCTGCTGCTGCTGTGCTCTATGTCACCGGTTTCAGCTGCTGCTACTGATGCTGCTGCTGCTGCTGCTATATAAATGTGTAAATGCGTAACTATATTGACATTTAAATGTATTGGCGCTTATATGGCGCACACTGGCTGCTGCGTTTGTGCGCAGCAGCCAGTAGCTCATAACTGATAGAGAATGGATGTACATATTGATTAAAATTGCATGTGTTTGGATATTTAAAGATCTTCCTCCTTCTGTGCGAGTGTTCGTGATAACATGCATTCGAAATGAATTTGTCTGGACGCACTAATGATACCCGTGAAAACACACGTTTTCAAGGTTTATAATTTTACAAATATAGGTAAAGACGAAGGAAGAAACTCTTTAAATGTCCAAACGCATGCAATTTCAACCAGCATATAAACTCCTCCCGTATGATTCTTCCATAAAAATCAATTGTGAGTTACTGGCTGCCGCGCACAACACCCACGAAGCATAAACACTAGTACTTTTAAATGTCTATATAATTTCACCGTTGCGTGTTTCTTTGAGGAGCATTTGGCTGCAATGCATGCAGTGATGGCTGGTGTGTTCACCGCGCTGTGCAGCCTCGAATGCGCAGAGGCAACGCTGTGTGGATTTGTTCTGGACTAATTGGCAAAGCGCTACGTCAGCAGTGCAGCCTCAGTAGCTCCGTTTTGTTTCTAACCGCAGGGCTGTGGGGGGAACATTTTTTTGCATAAGGTTTTTTTATGAAGTGTTGAGTGCTGCGTCACACCGCAGAGCATCTTGAGAATAATGCAGCAACCCAGCCACCAATAACGTCCATTCACCTGCAATATTGTGTTTGAATGAAGGCAAAGTTTTGCGCACAGTGGCTGATAAGTGTTTTCTTTTGGTTTTCGGGGAGCCGTACTTTAATTAAGAAGCTGCAGAGCTGATGTTGAGGCACAGCGTTTTGAACATGTGTTGAGTACTCTTTGGCGGCCATTCTGGCTGTCCTGAGTGCCCAAGTGTTTCGAATAGATCTGCATGGGCGATTTGCTTTAAGAAGTGGCAGCAGAGTGTGATGGCGTGCAGCCAGTGTGTTAGCGTAGGTGAAGCTGCAGCAGATTGAGAGAAAACTTTCGAATTTAAACTTTGCCACTGCAAGAATGGAAGCTAATAAAAAGGGAAATAAGTATGACTACACCCGGCGCAGCTGAAATTATAAATGCAGCTATTCTGACCTCTTTGATGCTGCATATTTGCTGCTCCGAAGCTGCAGCAGCAAAACTGACGGATTGGACTTCTTTGGTTTGTCGAAACTCTCTCACTTGGCATTTTCAGCCTCACTTATTCATTTTCGTTTAATTGTTTAGTCTTGACATCCCAGGAAACTCTTCCACCAAAAACATCGCAAACACCAGTGTGCCTTGCATACACCTCAGGAACCTTAAACCCTAAACTCTAAACTCAAACTCAAGACCCTAAACCCTCCAAGCCCTGAGCCTTGCAGGCACAAACCCTAATCCCTAACATCTAAACCCTAGACGCTGACCGCCTAGATCTAAACCCTAAATTCCAACCAAAGATAAACCCTGCACCCTAAACCCGTCTCCATCAACCGCGGCTAATCCTGCTCTTTTCAATTCGCGAGAAAATGTTTAAGTGCTTCTAGTGGCTTCAAATGTATACAAAGAAACTTCATGGAGGCCATTATATACTCTTCCGCGGTGGTAGCGGAAGTCTACCAAATTGTTTCTGCTGCTTCAGGCGCTAAGCCTGCCTCTGCAGCAGCTGCTGCCGGAGCAGCTGCTGCAGCAGCTGCTGCTGTGGCGGCCTTGAGGCAAGGCAAACGCCACCGTACAACACTGGAGAGCTTCCTTCGCTGCAGCAGCAGCAGAAGCAACCCGCGATCTCCGGGCCGCCCTCACCGCTGGCTACCGGGTCCTGGCGCCAACTGCGATTGCTCTCCTCCTGCTTCATGCATTGGGGCTCTTGCCGCTGCTGTTGCTGCTGGTGCTGCTGCTGCCCCTCTGCAGTGTGCTCCTCAGGTTTGCCCGGCTGCATGTTGAAGGCTTGCTGCTGCCTCTGCTGGCTCTGCCGAGCCTCTTGTTGTTGTAGCTGTTGCTGCTGCTGCCGCTGCAAGAATCCGGCCACGCATAAAACAACCCCCCCAAGTCTGGGAATAAGCACAGCAGCAGTAGCAGCTGCAGCAGTAAAGAAGCAGTCTTCTTCTCGTTTATGAATCAGCCCCGAAAAGAAGAGCTGCCACTGCAACAGGAGCAGCAGCACCAGCCCAGCACAGAGAAGAAGGCTCCTCGCAGATGCTGTAGAAAATCGGCAGCTGCTGCTGCCGCAGAGTGGCTGCTGCTGCCTACAGCCGCCCCTGCAGGAATTTAGGAAGCCCCAAAGCTGCAGACTGCAGCGGCAGCACTGGCGAACACCTCGGGGGTTTTGGCTGCTGCTGCCGCTGCTGTCTTGCTGACCGAGGCCGACAAGCAGCAGCAGCAGCAGCCGCAGCAGCGGCTCACTGCTTAGGCCGCAGAAGCGCTGCTGCACTATGCAGCAGCAAATTTGGGCGGAGTCTTTTTAAAAGGCAGAAGACACACAAAATGCAGCAGCAAATACTGTCCCTCACCGCTGCAGCTGCGGCGTGTCGACTTCATGCTGCTGCTGCTGCTGCTGCTGCAGCTGCAGCTGCTGTTGCTGCTCCTGTGTTCAGGCAGCCCCAGAAGGCGGCAGCAGCTCTGCTGCTCCAACTTCTGCTGCTAGACAAGGAGCATCAACTGATATCTGCTGCAAAAGAGTTAGAAATAAAAGGGAAAAAGCATTTCAGCAAGGAGGATGCTCTAGCAGTAACACCAGAGCTCGCGCATCTACAGTGCTGGAGGTTCTGCACAGACCGCTGCCGCAGCTGGAGCAGCAGCAGCAGCAGCAGCAGCTGCTGCTGCTGCTGCGGCTGCGGGGTATCTTATGTATACTCTCCCTTAACAAAGCAATTTGGTTGTTTCTTCAAGGAAGACACGGGCTCACAGGCGGTGTGGGGGCCTGATGGGCGGCATAGCTCGATATTAAGGAAGGGGGCCTTAGTTGCTGCTGCTGCTGCTGCAAAGTGTCTTCCACGGGGCTCAAAGCCTTAGGCGATGCGGAAGCATCGAGGAGGCTAAATGGAGGCGGGGAGCTCCCAAGACTGCCTGCTTCTGCGGCCGGTACGGCTCCTGCTGCCAGGGCTGCTGCTGCTGCTGTCGCTGCAACACACCAGTACGGCCCCCCAAGAAGCCACGGTGGCCGCAGCAGTAGCAGCAGCAGCAGAAGTCTCGTGCTGGGCTCATAGATCTTGCCGCTGAGAAGCTACGGCAGCAGCTTCCAACACTCTCAAGGAGCCGCGCTAAGGCCCCCGAGGCCCCTTGGGCACGCTTGCCTTTCTAGTGGCGCCGCAACTGTGACCACAGCAGAAGCAGCGACAACGGCAGCAGCAGCAAACAGCAGCAGCAACAACAACAGCAACAACAGCAACAGCAGGAGCAACAGCACGGAGAATACGAGCTGCAGGTGCAGGTGGAACACCAGCGCGGTGTGATGCTCCAACCAGCATTCAGGGCCTCTCGGGGGTCTTTGCCGCGCGATGCACAGCAGCAGAAACAGCAGCAGCAGCAGCAGGACTTGATGAATTAGTGCCTGCTGCAGCAGCGAAAGGCAGTGCTGCAGCTTCGCTGCCCGCAGCTGCAGCTGCAATAGCAGCACGGCCTCGTAACGAGGCCTATCTATACAGAATGGTGGCACTGCAGCAGCCGGTGTTGCTGCTGCGTACATTATTTGGCAGCAGCAGCAGCAGCATCGGCAGCTCGAAGCTCAGCAGTTGCTGCCACAGCAGCAGCAACAGGAAGCTGCTATTCCCGGGAGCAGCACAGCGCGCCTCACGGAGACGCTGCTGCTCCAGCAGCATCTCTTCTACCATTCCTGCAGCTCTTGCTGCAGCGCAGAGGGGCCTCCTAGCTGCCGCAGCAGCTGCATCAGTTGCAGCAGCTCCTGCAGCAGCCGCAGCACCTAAAGGAGGCAGTGGAAGCAGCAGTCAGCACTGCGACAGCGGCAACTGCACTCTTAGCCCGCCAAGAAGGCGCCTTTACAGCAGCAAGTGCTTCTCAGTAAACCTCCAACAGCAGCAGCAGCAGCAGCAGCAGAAGCAGCAGCAGCAGAAAGGGACTTTATGGTGGGAAGACGAAGACGCGGAAAACCGGCAGTTTATATCTGCTGCAACTCCGCCGTACTCTGG